GGGGAAGATTCCTAACAGGTCCTGTTATTTCTGACACATGTACAGCACTTCAGTTGATGTTTGTGAGCAACACAGCCTTAACCCTAACACTTTTGCTTTGGCTTTATGACATGGGAATGTTCCCTCAGATGCATAGTGCAGCAGCCCCTGTTAGAAATCTCTACCAGTTGATATGCTGCAGCTTTCCAGTTCTAGGAGTGAGTGGTTTTTTTTCATTTTTTTTTTTAAGTTTTTGTACATTCCATCTTTGTAAGTCAATCTCATATGTTTTGTGTATATGTAAGCCTTGCACTCTCTTGAAACTCATAATGAAATATTCTCACCTTTTTTTTTTTTTTTTTTTTAATTGTTGTTGGTTTTGGTTCTTTTTTTTTAATCCCTATGAGGCTAAATACAACCTTTTTCTCCTTAAGGTCAAGGATGAAAGATGTGTATCAAAGTGTTTGTGTGTGTGTGTGTGTAGTTTTAGCTTCCTGTGTGCCACAGTATTCTTGATGCTTTAGCCAACGATTAAAAAAAATTTACTCTGTCTTGGAAATGTAGGAAAACCAGAGTCAAATGTGTACCTTTACCACGCACAAAAATTTCAAATAATAAAAATAAAGCTTGTTTCCTCCGTTATTTTCATGGTTGAGGATTTATTTCTGATACGTCTCATATTCACTGTATGTAAAAGTAGCCCCATAATGCAGGAAGACAGGTAATTGTTTCCAGTTTTTTTCCCTGACGCCACAGGTCACAAGAAAACTGATTTTTTTTTTTCATGGGTGTTAGGCTTTTACGTAGACACAGAGGAGAGAGGGACTTGAGTTGTTCTTGGGAAGATGGTGGAGAGTTGGAGCTTCCTTGTCTCCTCCTTTCCTTCTTCAGTCCAATAATCAAAATTAACACTTTCACTGGTGGCAATAAGATTATGAGTCATAAACTTTTCCATTTGCATCACAGAAGTATACAGTACCTTTTAGCTATGCCGCGCCATCATCTTTCAAGAGTCTGCTGCAGAAAATCAAATATAAATTATTGTGGAAAAACAGAAAATTTGCCTTAGGAGTTCAGTCTGACTCTGTTCCTGTAATAACAAATTTTCAGTTCATGTTAACTTTCATTTTACATAGTACCTATGTCTTCTTTGTCACTGGTGAACTCTCCAAACCTGAATCATTTGAGAACTCAGTGTGATTGGCAACCTGCTCACAAAGATAAACAGAATCTTCAGATGTACCAATTCCTTGTTCCTTAGGCTGAAGTTTTCTCTCACATCCAGCCGTGCTGCTCTGCAGTTAACTATCCCCACAGTTTTGCTGACAGTTAATGTGAATGCTGCCTAATTTGGACCAGCCAAAAGTATCTCAGTGACTGGAACAATTAATGTAATTTCTCTGGACAGATGTTCTCCCTAGGCAGGCCCCAGCTGTGCTGGTGGAATAGATACCTACCACTTGCTACTCATTTGCTACGTCCAGTTGAAGACCACTGCCCCTCTGATCTGTTGGCTGAGCTAGGCGTGTGAATGACTTGTTCTTTCAGTGAAATGCCTAGTTACCAAAAACCTAGTATTTAAGCAACTCATCTCAATGCTAATATTGGTAATGCTTACTTCAGCAGCTCTGCCTAGCAAAGCTGTGGAAGCTGTCAGTTTTGGAGGAGGGCCAACTAGCATTTCTCACTGGGTTAGATGTTTGTAGGGAGAACATCTGCTTACAGTCCAAATGCTCATTTGAGGCTGAAATGAGGCAGCAGATGCTGCAGAGACTGGCCTGTATGGGATACTCATGGATCATATTGCTTCCTGATAACTGGTCACAGCCCATGACTGACTGCTTGGACCTCAGAGAAGTTGGTATGACCTCCCATGGGTGAGCATCTCTTAGAGCTCTCCTTGTCCTCCATGGTTAAGCTCTACTGCTGTCAGTCATACGGGTGTTGTGGGAGGCAGCCACAGGACTCAAAAGGCTTGCTGTTACACTTCTAGAAATAAACTGATCTGCTATTCAACATGAATTCTTCCCTTCTGCTGAAAAAAATAGCTCATGTAATTTAGAGACTGCGCTATGGCACATATGGTATGGAAGGAACAAAATTAAAGGAGGACAATTTTTGTTCTCCTACTTCCTAGCCTTCCTGCCATTGTCACTTTAGTGTCCTTTCAAAACAGAATTTCTGAATGTCATTCAACTACAGATTTGTAAGAGCAAAGTGGAGGGTACAAATTTCATCTCATCCAAGCATATTTTAACACTGACAAAGCACTGCATTTTGTCTAACTCAGGAACAGTAAAAAACTATTTTGACTGGTACTTAAACATCTTGGTCAGACACCTAGCATAGAAAATTTAGCCCAAACTGTTAAAGCTTAAGAAAATCACAGGAAAATGAGAACAATCTTCTAATAGAAAGGTACAGTTATGAATCCACCTTCCACAGTGTTTCCATCCATTGTCTTGTTTTTAGAATCATAGCATATGACTAGCAGTTTTGTGAAATACCACATTTAGCCATTCCGAAACCAATTAAAAATGTCAGACTTTTATGTATTTTAGGAATCATTCATTCCACTTTACCCAGCAACAGAAAACCACCCTCAAATGACACAGTATGAGATATTACTGTGTGTTCTCCTTCTGTTTGAGACTTCTTTCACCCCATGGTCTTTCAACTAATTACTTTTGAGCTGGTACTGCAAAACGTGGGAGATGTTAGGGAATCTCTAATTACAGAGCAAATTCGACCCAGTAATGTGGCCATGAAAAGGCTTCAGAGCTGCCAGTGCAGTAAGGATAGCTGAGTGGCTGTCCCCAGGGGGCGTGGACAGAGAAAACCTGCCGATACCCACCATTGCCTGAGAGCATGACCAGTGTTTCAGAGACGAATGGGCTGTCTTGGTTGCTGCGACCACTGCTGAAACAAGGAATGCCTTCCAGCTGTGGTTCCATGTGTGCGCTCCAGCCATGTACTGGCTCTACCTGGGGGAGTGACCCAGGTGTTTGCTGACAGTCTACTTTCAGGTGTAATGGGGAGATGGGAACATTGCTGTCTCACACATGCTGATCACAATACACGAGGTACATGCCCCAAGCCCACTTCAGAGTGAATGACCCTATGAAAACCCCTCCTCCCTCTCCTCCTCCTCTTCTGCATGTTCAGCATGTTCAGCTCTGACACCCACTCTGCTGCTCACATGTGTCACTTGGAGAAAACCCACACGGCAAAAAATGTTGCCGTAACCATTTGTTTGGCAGCAGTTAAAAATTAGAGCAGAGCTCAGTTTTATTTCAGGCTGTGAAGGAACAAGAAGGGGCCCACGCCCTTGGGCAGCAGAGGTGAGTGTGACAGGAGGAAAAGAACTGTCACAGGGAGCGTGGGGACATACTTTGGGGCTGGCCAAAGGAAGGGAAAAGCAAGGAGACAGAATATGACTCCTCACAGCATATGAGGAGGCGTACCAACAGATTTCATTGCAAGCTAGCGAGTTGAAAATGTGCTGCATAAGAGAGAATGAAAAAACAAGCAGCTTTGTGTTTTGTATGAACCTTAAGCTTTGTATTAATAACATCCTTTCTAACTTATGTTTCGTTTTTAGTGATACACTGGTGCACACAACGAGGAACAGGATCATGGGCCAGGTCTGCATGGAAAAGAACCTCAGGTCTCAGGGAACGGGGCACCTTGCAAAAGGCATAAAAAATCTTCACAGAGCCTGCCTGAACATCTCAGCTTGCATGTTTTTATTTACTTAAACTCTACAATTAGTATGGCAGATATCAACCCACTGCTGTTGCAATTTCCCATAAATCCTGTAGCTGAAAGTAAGTGATTTACAACACAAATGATAATTAAAACAAGATGCAAGTAATTAAAGCCGCTAGAACAGTCATCTCAATGAACAACTGTTACATGCAACACCAGATGCGCCCAGGCCCTTCACTTTCACGGTCAGCAAGGGTTTTATTTCTCCATGTCCTGCGGTTCCTGTGACAGGCCAGCTATACAACACACGTCGTTTCAGACCACCGTTACCGCGTTCTTTTTGTCCCCTCGGTTTTATTCTATGGCGCCATCCGGCTGGTAAAAAAAAAAAAGAAAAAAAAGAAGGTAAAACACGGGCACCTTAAGAGTGGCCTTAAAACGATGTGTGTTCTACAGCTGCCCTGTGAGGGTCGCCTCACGGCCGCCCGCCTCCCTGCCTGCCTCCCGCGGCTCGGCGCCCCGGGACAGCCGGGAGCGAGGGGCGGGCGGCAGGCGGCGCTGCGCACGCGGCCTAACCACGGCCTCTTCCCGCCCGGCGGCGCCGAAATCAAACCGCGCCATGGTAAGCGGGGCCGCCCGCCCTCCTCCTCCTCCTCCCGCGCCCCTCGGCCGCCGCAGCCGCGCCCGGGCCGGGCCGTCGCTGAGGCTGCGGCGGCTGCTGAGGGAGCCGCAGCCGTGGGGGCTGCCACTCGGGGCCGCGGCAGGGGGCGTGTGACGGGCGCCCGCGCCCCGCTGTCCCTCCGCCCCGGCGGCCGCTGAGGGGAGCGGGGCACCGGCTCCGGGCAGGCACCGCGGCTCCCGATAAGCTCCCACGGCGCCGGGTCGGGGGGCGCAGCGTCAGCACGGCGTGGGCTGCGCCTTCGGCCTGTTGAAGGGCGATGGAGAGTCAGGCGGCACCTGGAGGAGCAGCCATAGCCCCGTGACAGAGGCTCGGGGTGGGCGCGGCGCCCGCTGATCCCCCTGGGACCCGGGGGCCCAGGTGTGAGCAGGCCGAGCCTCTGGCTGCGGCTGTGGGGAGGTGGGAGCGGGCAGAGCGTGTATCGCAGGTGTGCTCCAGTGGCGCTCACAGCACCGCACACCCGCCTCTGCCTGCGGTAGCGTGAGCGACGGCAAAGGGGATGCACCTGGTGCGGTCTGTATTTGTGGTGGGGAGCACCTGCCAGCGGCGTAGGAGGGAGAAATCGAGGTGAAAAGTTAATAACATTTATTTGGAGCGCGCTTTGATTGGTTGCTTCGCTCTGTTTGTTGGAGCGCGGATGTGAAACTTGGCGCCCGAGCACGTGCTTTCAGAAAGGCCGCTTCGATTCCACGTCATGCACGTACAGGTTTTATTCCTCTGGCTGCTGACGGTGTCAGGGATGTTTGGGAAGGCAGGGAGATGGAAGTTAATCAGTCTGCTTTCCGTTCGTGCTCCTACTCGCATGTATGTGGCGGCTCCAGGCTTTAATCCTGCAATGTAGTGACATCGTAGGAGACAGTTGTGACATCGCTGCTGGCATCGGGCATCACTGGCTAAAGCAGAAGGGAGGAGACTTAAAAAAAAAAAGTAATGGTGCTTTTGTTAAATATAGTATTGAATTGCTTCTCTTCCTGTCTCTGTTATTGTAGCTTCATAAGCTACCTTTTACTTTTTAAAATTGTAGCTTCATAAGCTACCTTTTATTTTTTAAAATTAAGTCAATCTGGCCGGTTTGCTCTTGGTGCACGTTTTAGATGTTGTGCTGCCCTATCATGTGATTTATTTAAGAAGGAAGCAACTGTTAAAAGTAGAAATGGTATTGACTCCCTTCTGTTGACACTTGGAAACATAACCATGTCTTTCTCAAAGCATCATGTTATTAGAATGCCCACTTCCATTGACTCAAGGACGATAATATATATGTCTTTTGGCTTTTTTTCAATGAGACCTTTTTTTGCCAGCAACCTCTGGTGTTCTTTCTATCCCTCTTTCAATTTCTTGTAGCCACACACAGCTTGTGAAGTAGGGAGTGGGGCAAGGGGAAACTTTTCGGATTCACATTATGGCAGTTGCTTTCAAGTTGTTGTGGACTATGCTAAATGCTATTAATAAAACTCCAATTCTCTGTGAAATACTTTATATCCTAATTTTACAAGGGGCACGTCAAAATACTATTTCTGAAAGTCTTCAGAGGAGACTATTTCTCAGTTTGGTATTGGTGGTAGCAGTTTGTGAGGTAGCCATTTCTGCCTTTTGCTTCAAGTTCAACCTATGTTATTTACTGCTTGATCACGCAACTGCAGAGATAAGAAATAAATGAAGCAAAGCTTTTAAAATATGACCTTGAAATTATAAAGTTTGGTAGGACATTTGAAGAAATATATACCTCAAAATGCTCTTTATCTCCTAAAAAAAAAACTTAATGGCCTGCATCTCACAGTACTGTGTGTATATTAAAAGCTAGAAAACAATTATTAAAAAAACTTCAAAAGATATTCCTTCTTTTCTAAGGACTGTTAAACATTTGCGTGCCTTTGGTATAAATACACACTTTGGAATTGGTATTTGTCAAGAAACCTTGAATCTGGAGCTGGATTGGATTGTGTGAAAGGTCAGTTCCAAGCTTAGAAGGTAGGTTTCTCCATTTAATAGATTGCAGGTGGATGAGCTTGGTGTAGTGACCAAGAAATAGTTTGCAAAGAAAGCCTGGGGTTAGTGGTAAGGTGTTTTAAAGGATGGAGACTATAACTTAGAGGTAAATAGATTTGAATTCTGAGCAGCTGTTAATTATTCAAATAGCTGAATTTTTTTTCTTTTCATTGTTCTAGTCCAAGAAAAAAGGTCTGAGCTTTGAGGAGAAGAGAGCTCGCATGATGGAGATCTTTTTTGAAACAGTAAGTAACTTGCAATTATCCTGCATTTACATTGGTGGGAAAACATGTCCTGAAAGGAGCTTAACTGCAGATGAACTCTGTATCCCAGTATGCATTTCACTGATGCCCTGTGTCATCAATTAATAAATTACAGGCACAAAGTTTCCTTCATTTAGCTTCTAATCAGGTGGATCATCTCCTGGTGGAGCCAAGGCATGAACATGCACAGATGTGTTAAAATCTTTATGTGCTACCTATGCACATTGTCTCTTTTTGAGTCTGTTACCATAAGAGGGACAGTAGGAGATTAGGAGGTAGCTCACTGCATTTTAGGGGAGAAGGAAAAAAAATCTGAGTGTTAGAAAAGTTGAGAGCAGACCTAGAAGAGGTCCTTGGGGGGAAGAGACCTGGAGATACAAAAGCAGAGCTTCAGTTGTATTGGTGGCATATGTTATCCACCGTGTTTCACCTATTAAAAAAAAGTACTGTGACCTGAGTACTTGAGCAGTGTGGTGCATCTGGTGCTGGCAATCTGACCTGGGCTCTGTGTGCCCTAAGGGCTTTATGGTCTAACTAGGCAAAATATGGTGACTTTACAGTACCAAAGGAAAGAACAGGGCTTGTTACAATAATAGTATTTTTCTTATTATTTAATTCTCAAGAACATTCCAGTTCTGTTGAGGAATATGCAGCTCATTTCCCTAGCAAAACCAAAACATACAGTGTATTTTCTACTTGCTGTTGTTGGCATTGATTTAGTATAAGAAACACTCAGGCTTAGATGATGCTGTCATTTGGAACTAAATTGTCTTTCATGTTTTGCACAGAAAGATGTGTTCCAGTTGAAGGATATAGAGAAGATTGCTCCAAAAGAAAAAGGGATTAGTAAGTGTTTATAAAAGTTATTTCTCTTGAACCATTAATCATTTTTGGGGCAGGTCAAGTAGCATAAATTTTCCTGGCTACAATTTTAGGCTTGTGGTTGTAATAATGGAAAAAATATCTAGAATGGGAGACTGGTCAATGGCAGGGCTGTAGTGTTAAAAGTGACATGGGATGGGGGCTTTCCTAGGCTCTGAGTTGCCTGACTTGCAGTGACTTTCAGTGTATGAAATCATTATATGCACTCGGGCTTTAAAGATCTGCCTGTAACGTCATAAATATTTTAAAATGCTAGTCCAAACATACACCAACAGTGTTCTGTTGAGCTGTTCCCCTCCAAAAATGGCTGGACAGCTGTAGATGGAAGGAGTTTTTCTTTTCAATGAAAGCCTTCCTGATGAGATCCATTGGTTTAGGATTAGGTCCAAGAGGATTTATCTTATGCTGTTGAATTGTTTTATATGTTCCTCATTCTTCTTCCTTCTATGTTCATTGACAAAAGGGGGGCAAAGCAGAATGTTCATGTAGTTACCACTGTCCTTGACTGGCATATCTTGGTGGCATTGCAAGAGTAAATGAACTTGCTGAAAGAACTGCAGACGTAAATATCGCAAAACTGAGTTTTTCAATTGTGTCAGCAGCTAACAGGCACTCATGGGCTTCTGAAGAGACGTGGTGCTGTCTTGATTGGTTTGCAAATGCGTATATTCAGTTGTAATCTGTGGTAAATACAAGCAGTAGAATTTAATATTTAAAAATCAACTGTAGAGTTTCTAAAAGCATTAACATCTTTGAATACTCCAAATTCATCCAGCCTCTGCGTATGAAGGCATTTAGCCACACAACACAAGCCCCAGTTACTCTGAAAAGAAAAATGACTAGCCTGTGGAAAGGCCCCGTCCTGGCATCCAACCTATGGCTTCCAAAACGTAGATTTTGATCTGGGATCCCTTTTAGACTAGAAATTGAACATCAAATACCAAAACCCATAAATGAGCTCAAAAGTCTTTATATCTTCAACACTTGAGGATAATATAACGATTTTGCTTTGTTAACAGACATCATTTTTTAAAATGGTGACTTATGCCACAGATTTGCTAAAAAATGATCAATTATGTTCAGAAACGCTTTGGGTCCTTGTAACTGCAGGTGAGGTTCTGTATTGGAACAAAATCGAGAGTAGAATCTGTCCCTCCTGAGTCTGTAGACACATGGCTTTAGTACCTCTGCTGCTATTAAATGCTTTGATAAGCATTACAAAGTGAAATGTAATTACACTCCTAATCAAGAAATTGTAAATTAATCCATATTAAAATTAAGATTGCAGGACAACTTCTGAAGTACCTCTCATGGGTTTGTTATGGTATTGTACTGTGCTGTGTGTGTATGTTGTATGATACTCATGAGTGGTGTTTTGCAAATAACTGTTAGCAGATGTGCAGAATAGCAGTCTTTAGGAACAAACTGCTGATTTCAAAGAGATTGATGCTTTCAAGGGAAGCTTCTGCCATGGTGGGTGTCCTCTTGAAATCTTCTAGCTAGCTGACTAATATTAGAGTAAAATATTCATACAGGTGATTATAGATGGTGGGTTGTGCATTAATAATTCTCCATAGTTTAGATGCTATGCAGTTCTAATTTGATATTTTTGCTTTTGTTAGCCTCGATGTCAGTGAAGGAGATTCTGCAAAGCCTAGTTGACGATGGCATGGTGGACACTGATAGGATTGGAACTTCCAATTATTTCTGGGCTTTTCCAAGTAAAGCTCTTCATGCCAGGAAGCGTAAATTGGAGGAGTTGGAGTCTCAGGTAAATTTATTTTATGAAAAATACTTCTTTATCTGAATGGGTTTGCTTTTCTTATACCCCCTGATCATTCTTGTTTATATCTCTTGTGTACAAATGTACATGCCCACACACAGAGATTTTTACTATAGGAATTATCTGTCACACATGGTAGGATGTTCTCACTATCTTACTGTCACATCAGAAAAATGTTGGAAGTTCTTGTTGGAGCTTGAGAACGCTTTTTATCTACTTGGTGCTGGAAGTATGTTATTCATGATGCAATGTGTCATTTAAGGACTCAAAATATTTAGGTAGTGTATGGTTTTGTGTCTCTTACATAATGTAGGCCATCCTGTGGTAATAATGTAAAAGTCATGAGTGCTGAAATGCATAACCTGAGTAAATGTGGCAGTGGTTTCTCATTATGGCCATTGTGCTTTCCTCTCTGCTTTATCTATGGCTTAATTTGTGAGCACTTCTGTAATCCCATACTGTACTTTTAGTAGGAGAGAAGAGCAAATTGGTCATGAATCACAGAATCAAAGAATGGCTGAGGTTGGAAGGGACCTCTGGAGACCATCTAGTCCAATTCCTTGCTAGAGCAGGTTCACCTGGAGCAGGTTGCACATGATCACATCCAGGTTATAAGAGAAGGAGACTCCACAGCGTCTCTGGGCAGCCTGTTCCAGTGCTCTGTCACCCTCGAAGGAAAGAAGTTTTTCCTCTTAGTGACATGGAACTTCCTATTTGTGCCTGTTGACTCTTGTCTTCTCACTGGGCACCACTGAAAAGAGTCTGGCTCCATCCTGTAGACACCCGCCCTCACAGTCATCTCTTCTCCAGATGCACAGGTCCAGCTCCCTCAGCCTTTCCTTGTAAGAACAGTGCTCCAGTCCCCTCATCATCTCCATAGCCTTCTGTTGATCCTATCCAGTAATTGCTTGTCTTTCCTGAATTGGGCAGAGCACTCCTGATGCAGCCTCACCAGGGTGGAGTAGAGGGGAAGGATAGGCTCTTCTGCAGAAGAGCAAGGCAGTCTTTTGTTGCAGCATTGCTGTTCTGTTGGTCTGGTTCTTAACTACTTCTTAGGAACTGTCTTTCTTGCTTCTTCTAATGGGAGTGGGAAAGCATCTGTTTTTCAGTTTATTTGCAACGGGAGTATACGATAACAAGATCAACAAAATAGATTTATGAGACCATGTGTGATTGCACCACAACACTGCCAAGTTTTCCCATGCTTATTTAGCATTATAGTCTTTCATCAAAAAATCATTTGAATTAATGCAAAATTATTGGTAGCATCTGAACATTTTTACAGACTTTATTTTCTTCAGGCATAGCTCTGGTATCATCATTGCCTTCTTATGTGCAGTGTTGTCAACTTCAGCTACTTCATTATATTTATACAATTATATCAAGATAATTTAAAAAAAAAAAGTTTTTTTCCCCAGCTTGAATTGAAAAAGGAGTTTGATTTAACTGGATATAGTTGCACTGTTTTCAAGGATGGACTTAATCTGGCACTACTACTGAACTTAAATTAATTTTTATGAACTGGTAGTAACAATGCACTGATTCTTACTCCAGTGAAGTTTCATCTGTCTGAAACAAGAGATTAGTTTAACTCTGCACTGACTTGGAACTGAATTTCCTAGCAAAGTTACTCAGCTTACTAGTATATTCATGAAAGTTTTAGATCAGGCTGTTTACTCTGCCAGAACATAAATGCCACCTGAGCAATTGGACAAATACATGCCAGAATTCTGTCTCTGTTCACCAAACGGTCTGGTGCCACTGTCTTGTTCAGTGCAAATGATTTGCTCTTGTGAATTTTCTGTTGTTGCTCATACTCCATATTATACTCAAGTAGCTGAATGAAGGAGTTGGTTGGTTCTCTTTGCCCTTGGGCCTAGTCCCATCATGAATTTCAAAGATAATTGGTCAAGCAGGTCTCTAGCATACCCTGATGAATGTCTTGCAGAATCCAGCTAATGTGTTCCACCATAAATATCCTGGTGTTATCTACAAAAATATGCTGTACTGCTTTAAATGTACTTTTACATTATTAAACACAAAACCGTCTATTATTGTGGAATTATAATAAGCATGTAGTTACTGTATTGTAACATCATTTTATGATTATTTCTGTGTAGGAAGTAAATGCTGATATGAACAGTTTTGCAACATAAGACTATTAAAAAGAAATATTTTTTTACCAGACCCTCATTTGCAAACCAAGTCCTGCTCCTTGCATGTGGGTTTATTGGTATAAGAGCTCTCTTTAGCCCATGTTATGAGTCTTGTAAAGTACTTCTATTCATTACCTCGCTTTTCTGATGAGACTTGAAATGTTTCAGCATTTCAGGGAAAAGCATTTTTACTAGCTGAACATAACTTCCCTGTTTGACACAGTGGAAAGGTGGCATTTTCAATGAATAGCTCTCTGAACATTTTTACAAGATGGTAACAGATTCTGTCTGTGAGTTCAAATTAGCTGTTTTGGTGTTTGTAGTCTTCTTGATGTGAACACATACAGATTTTCTTAAGGGTTTCTAAACCCAGTCACCGAGTATCACAAAACTTCCTGTCAGAACATGTAAAGCAGAAGAAAAAAGTCAGCTATTTTACCATTTCTGTTGCATGTTGCCTTTGATCATTCCTGTATACAGCTTTTGGCATGCTGAGAAATATGCTTTGTTTCTGTGTCTTTTCCAGATTGATTGGTAACTTGTGAGTTGGTCTCCTTCTTTAGCAGTTAAAAGCCAGAATCAAGCTGCCTTACTTAAAGCATGTTTAAAAATCCAGCAGTTTAGTTCATACTGCAGTTAAGGCTTTTTACCAGGAGACAATATCTTTGTTTGCTGAGGGTAAATAGTGAAGGGAGTGATCCCTAATGCTGAACTAAGACATTTGAAAATAATTTGGAGGAACAGAACAATCTTCTCCGTGATGCAAATCCTTCTATTAATTCATATCACTGAGGGCTTAGGTTTGACAGGTTGGGCCTGCTGCAGGACCTTTTGCCTGCATACATTGGTACTTCAGCATGTTCTAGACAAGTTGCTCATAGCATTCTGTATCTTACAGAACTTGTGATTGTGGGGAGGCTGTTTTGGGAACTGTTCTTGAAAGAGTTCTTTTGTTTCAGATTTTTTAGTGATTAATAAGCCACACCCCAATTTACTCAGTAGCAAAGAAGTCTGACTCAGTATTCATGATGAAGAGCAAGCCAGTTTTGCCCAGATGTTTGAAGTTGCACTTCACAGGGCTTCTGGTATACCCTAGATTTTTTTTCTATAAGGATATATGACATCATTAGTGTGATCCTTTTGTGCAGCGATATGACAATTAAAAATAATGCTAAAGTTTCTTGACAGCTCACCTCCCTGACCCCATCTTTCAGCTTGCTTTTGTGGGGGCAGGTGTTTGGAGAGGGGCACTAATCCCTGAACTTTTATATGTGGCAAACTTGTGCTGATCTAATTAGGTTTAGGATCTTGGTGGTGCCCTCTAACACAGAGTTACTGTTTGGACTTCTTCCTGTTTTTCTGAAAAGCAAGGACAGCAGATGCTTCTGCTGCTGTTTTCTCCAGTAGCTCACAGAGTAAGGGAATTGCTAAGTAGGTGCCTGTGGAGTTTGTATTGATTTATTTTGCAGTGACATGGCTGCTTTTAAAGGTTTATGCCTTCTGCCAGATGCTTGTTCTTCATCTCTTGGTTATGCTTATGCAGCTGTGAAGGGGACCACTGAAAAAGTGAAAGAAGTTGGAAGTTGCATTGTAGTTAGATGGGTTTATACAGACATTTGGTTTGTTTGCATGTGGAAGTTGCATTTAGTTAGATGGGTACAGCTATGAGATGGTGAAACCATAGCAAGGGTGTGGACTGAGAAATACTGTTTTAACAATGTTTATAAGTGAAGAAATTTTTAGTGGAACCTCACCTGTCCAGAGAACTGTGGAAGCTTTACTGGCAGGGTGCTCAGGTTGTGAGTTTTTTCCTTTAATAAGAAAATGATATGGTTTTATTCTTTATCAGTATTTTCCTGTTGTATTCTGAAGCTTTGAATAACCTGTGATCAGTTATAGTTAGATAAAATGAGATTTTATTCTCGGCGTAACAGTATTGGATGCTTGGGGTTTTTATTAAACTAACAAAGAATTTGACTTACACCATGTAACAGAAAGATCATCATTTATTGGTGATTCCACTGCTTTTTGTTGATTGTGTAGCCTGCATAAAATGAGGAGACTGGATAATGACAGCCATGTTCAATCTTGGGCAAGAGCTGCTAATGTGTTTCATACAATTGTGTATGTGGGGTTTTGTATTGTTCTGCTGTATGTGTTGTTGCAGAAGGGACATGAATGTGAAGGATATGTTGCCTGCTAAAGAGGAGAAGACGTATGCAGCCAAAAACTTGACAACAGTGTTATCAGGTAGGAAATGAGTGAGGAAAAGAGAAACCTTTCTGATGTAGCCTTAGTATAAACAGATTCAGCTTAGATTTTCTTTCATTTTTTTATCTGTGTCTTGGGTAAAACACTTGCAACTGTTTTAGGTGATTTAATGCTGGTTTGCATTTTGCTTTGTAGTGGCTTCAATTAAGCATTAATTGAAGTAACTAGTAACAGTGAGCCTTTGTCTCACAAGGGCTGATGAGTCTGCAAACCATGATCCTCAGAAGCCATGAGGAGTGTCCCATCTCTCCAGCACATTGTCTGCCATAGCCAGTGTGACAGAGGGCATCTCAGCTGGAGTTGCACAGGGCAGGTTTAGTACTGACACGGCAGGGCCTAAGGGAGGCAGAAGCAATTTCAGTGGTCCTTGGTGACATTGAAGAGTGTCTGGCATTCAGTGTGACAGGCATATATGTCGGAACCGTAAAGTTATAGAGGATTGCCATAGCATAGTGTAGTACTTTTAGCAGATAGGGACCTGAAATACCAAGTACTTCAAAGATATTGTGGTTGTTAGTGTAACTGTTGAGAGTACTGGGAGTACTGTAGTCCAATAGCTTG